AAAACATTCCAAAGTGTCGACGAACTGCCGAAATGCTGGCCTGGCAGCGTGCTCCGCTGGCAGCGTGCTCCGCTGGCACGATGCCAGGATTCGTCGCCTTGAATTCGCCCCTCGTGCCGGGTCGAACGATAAAATCGCTTCCCAAAAATTAATTTAAAATTCTTTGCCCGAGTTTTTTTTTTTTCGTTTCGACCAGCTCCCATTTCCGGAAAGCGATATTTCCCCGGTCGCTTCATCGTCGAAACCAGTTTTAAAATTTTGCACGATTCGTCAGCTTCGATGGTATTAATACTTAGCGAAATTGCCTCCACTAGGTCTTGAATGCAGGCTTTAAAATCGAAAATCACAACAAATTTTAAATTCTGGCAATCATCGGAACGAACCGTTTCACCATTTCACGCTCTTGGACCCTCACGAACCTCAAAAAAGGGGATTGTGAGGTTTGGACCGCTTCCAGCTGGTGCCCGCCGATTCGGCGCTGGAGCCAGCCGTCCGGATTCCCCCGCATTTCGGTGCCAATGCCCCGAATTCAATTTTGGCTCCCCTCCCCGCTCCGGCTGCCGCGCCGGATCGGCAAAATCAGGATCGTATCAACTACGTCTCTCGTAGTTTTTCATCCTGGCACGACGGAGAAGCAACAGAAGCCGAAGATGAAATTACCTGGACTTCAAAACACAGCGCACTCGACTATTGAAATCTAATCGGTGCGAGAGTCTCTGCGCCGTTGAGAAGTCGCACGTCGCGACATCTAGGCGAAACGAGCGAAACCATCGAAGGCAAATGGCAGCAGCGGAAGTGGAACGAATGCGTCCTTGCAGTTAGCCTATGAAGTTGCTCACGCATGCTCACGGTCTCGGCATGAGGCGAATTTATTTTAATTGAAGCCTCAAAAACGTAATTCGATCGTTGAAACGAGTCCGAGTCATCAAATCCGGCACAGCCGAACGGATGAAGCTCGAAGTAAACCGTAAGTCTTTGACGGTGCTCGAGGCGAAACTAGTGATGAAAACTGAGGCCAAGGCTAACGTATGTTACGACCGGAACGAACCTGTTCTGCTGACAGTCGGAGAGAAGCCCTTTTTGCTCTTCGCGCCATGGAAAACCTCAGAAAGGGGAAGATTTACTCGAGGACCTCATGCAATGCAGCCGAATTGAAGGAACTCGCATGCCGAGGGAAAGCGTTTCTCGCCTGTCGTCGTTTGCGTGACGTGGAAAGCGGGATCCTCCGAGTGTCGATCCGCTGTTTTCGACCGAGCAGGCGATTCCTCTAGCGTTGAATTTGCCTGGTTGCGATTGCAAATGACCGGCTGAAGTCCACAGAGCGATTCGATCGGCAGATGCTGAATCTTAGACATTAGCTTTTTCGCTTTCCGAGGGGCCAAGGTTGCATCAATAATCTAGGAGTTTACGTTACGTTACGTTTACGTTACCCAATGCCAGATGTGATGAAAATGTTAGTCCCGTATGATCTCACTCGATCATTATGCCTTCTATACTCCATCGTCCAGATTTGCTTCGAACGTCGACTTCGCTCTCAATACGTTTAGTAAGGATTTGAGCCGTGTAAAAGTGGAAACGCTTGCTCTGTATTGCTGAAGCGAATGCCGGACTGGAAACATTTCGTGCGACTAAAAACAAACGCGAAGAATCGCAACAGAATCGTCACTGTTCGCAGCAAAGACGAGAGAGAAAAAAAGCGAAAATCAAGACGCACCAAAGACGCGAAAAAACAAAGGAGACGAGCTGATGACAGACCGCAAACGTGTGGCGCCGCGAACCAGACGCCACGGCCACGTGCGAGCCAGCGGATCGCGTCTCGCCATTACGCAAAAAAAAGCACCGGGAAGCCTCCCAGATTGTTTACGCTCTCGCCCGCCAGGGGCCACGAGCGATCGTGACGTCACGACCTTTACTACCGAACGAGGAGGCAGCAGGCGAGGCCTGGCTCACACCCGGGAAGGAAAACGCTGGGGCCGGGCGCCGCCTCTCCGTCGCAGCAGAATCCGACTCTCTCGCACTTCGTGTTGGTCGGGACTGCGAACAGAAAATTCATCATTTTCGCGATCGATTCGGACCCGAACGGAACGAGAAAGAGCAGGGACGGGCTCACGGCCGTGGCAGCAGACGAAACCCTCCCCCTCGCATCTCCCCCGGCGCCCGACGTTTTCTCGGAGGCAAGTAGAGTCTTTCGTGCAGATCCCGCCCAGTTGCCAGCAGTCCATCTCGGGCCCCTCCCCCTGTTCTGAAATTATATAATATGATCGATAGGCGCGGTATTACCTTTCTTCAACCCTTTCCCGCTTCAAAATTCAACCTCCTTGTATTCCTGTCTGAGAGCATCAACGGGAACGAAATTCGGCATACTTCCTCTCTCACCACAGAATCGCTCCACCAAATTTAAAGCTCCATCTTTCCGGGGTTGTGGAAAACACTGAATCTCGTTTTTGGAGGATGTGAATTTCATTCCTTTCCCCCCCCCCCCCCCCCCCCCCCCCGGGTAGCCAATCCTAAGGGGTTTTCGGAGGAAAGAGACCAACCTCTCTCTGGTTGGTCTCTCGTAAGACTCGTAGATGACGAAAAGTGGCTTTTTTTGCTGTTTGCGATGCTCCATTTCGCCATTGAAAAAATGAAATTAGCCGTCGTTCAATTAAGCTTGCACCGGTACCGTCCCCCAGTGTTGCCAGATACCGTGCCGAAATTATGCCAGATTCAAGACTGTTTCAATCTTCGTATTGGCATCTGGATCTTCTGTTTTTAATGTATGAGACATTTTTGTGCTGAGTTCATGAGATGAGTTGAGAATGAAGCTGTGGTTAGCAGAGTGATCGATGTGATGGGATATATGGAGATATCTTATCCGGACATCCCTGAATTAACAGGATGGCGCGTATCATGGATTCCATGTTTCTCAAGGGAATTCCCTCCTCAGACCAATTCGAGATGGTTCGAGGAACTCTCGATGGGTCTAACGTTCGCACTGAAATGGTTCATGAAACGCGAATTGGGTCTCCAATCGGTCTAACGTTAAACGTCCTCAACCAGATGTCTCGAAGACCACGATTCACCCTCATAGGCCTTGTATGAGCCGTAAATCCAGAAGTGAGTTTCATTTGAAAAGAAAAGGTATACCTTGGCGTGACCTGAAAGCAGTCTGTTGGTTAGGCATAGGCCTAACGTTAGCCAGTCCCGTAGAGAGGCGGAAGGGGTTTAAAGGAAGGGAAAGCGATTGAAATTTGGTTTTCATATTGCTTCATTATAAGGTAACCGCTAACTGTATCGTTTACTCCAGCGTTGATTCACTTGGTTGGATTTAGCAGCAGAGCGAAATTAGAAACATGAGAAAAGTCGTGCGAGCTTGAGGCTTCAACGAACGAAATTGATTTTTTGGCGTGTAAGCGAGTAGGGAAAAAAAAAAACTGAACAAGGAAGAAGACTATTTCTTTTCTGAATATTTTCTGGAGAAAACAAAGCTGCGAATTTCGAACGAAATCGACGCGCCCGAGCAACGTTCTAACACTCGATCGAACTCGGAATTCAGAACTGTTATTTTCGTTAAAAAGTCCGCTGCCTCCTTAAAAAAAAAAAAAAAACTCACCTTGAGAGGACGAGGCGATGCAGACGAGAACGGCAATCATCACTAGGAAATACTTCATTTTCGGTCTTCGCTTCGAGTCCGTGCCCTTCTATATCCTTCGTCGCCCTGCGACATCCCTTCTTCTCCCCGCGACATCCCTCCGTGCCAAGCGTTATCCTTCGCGCTTCCGCTTCCGCCGCGATAGAGGGTGAGATCAGAGCTGGAAATGATGGAATTGCGTCAGGGAATTTCCCTCGTCGGTTCCACGAAAACACTTCAGAGAAAACTCGGGGAAAACAGAGAAAACTGTTTCTACGCTACGTGCAGGCAAATAGTACGAGGGCAACAGAGATCTGTTCCATCGACTCGGTCTAGCAGTCGGCGCGTGGCTTTTCTTGTGGCCAAGGGAAGCTAAGCTGAGAGTACATATCAGATGTAAAAAAAAATAATGAAATGGTTCGGGTCGGTTTGGTGGTGGTAACCCCTGTGATCGGTGCGGCAAAACAGATCCCACTACATGGAGGAGGGCCGTTCCGAAATTCCTTTAAAATATTTTTCATGATCAACATCATCTCTCAAAAGTCGAATTTTAAAATAATGAAAATAGTCTTGTGAAAGCTACTCTCTTTCATAGAGTCTACAGTCCGCTGCAGCGCAAAGACGATCCCAACTCAGGTATGCAGTACAAGGCTTTTATTCCACAGATTTCCGATTTCCTTCATCTGAAGAATGGGCCTTACGTGAAACAGATGGACAGGAGGCGCGAACGTGGCAATTGCCTCTGTGTAACTCCTATAGGTTAGCGTGGAAGCGTCGGTTGTCCTAGACCCATACCGAGGGAGGAGCAAAGGTTTCTTAGCTGGTCTCTGGCTAAATGGAGGTTTCTAGATTTCCGAGCGGTTCCGTCCGTTGTAATGACAGGAAGCTCTGCGGTCTGCTTCGATCGAAAAACACGATTACTATGGACGTGAAAATGCACCGGAATGAAGGAGCGTTTCGTCGGGGCAATCCCGATCGCGAAGAGATGCGAGAGCCGAAACGGAGACGAAGAGGGACGAGAAGAGATGAAAAGACGAGGGACCAGAGGGCACGAGGGGGGACGAGAATGATTAACTGAGCCCCCTTATCCATGCATATATTACCTATCAGATGTTTAAAGAATAATAATAATACTAATGAAATGATTTCTTTCGAGAGGATTTGCAGATGCTGGCACCCCCTGTGATCGAGCGGGTCTGTTTATACGGAGGAAGGGAGTTCCGAATTTCCTTCAATATATTATTATTTCTAATTAAAATCTTCTCTTGACAGCCAAATTTTAAGAAAATGAAAAAATTGTTGGAAAGCTACTCTCTTTCATGCTGTCTCCAGTCCGCTGCAGCGCGAAGACGATCCCAACTCAGGTATGCAGTTCAAGGCATTTATTCCACAGATTTCCACTCCCTTCGAAGAGCAACGACATCCCTCAACTCTAGGCCGACAAACAGGAGAAGAAGAAGAATGGGGGGGGGAAAGGTGTTTCATACGAGGACGCAGCAAACCTCGCTCTCCTTGCACCCTCGGAGGTTCGCCCTCGGACCCTTGCACTCCTCCTTGCATAATCCGATCTTCTCGCACGGGGTGTCCAGCGGGGCTGCGTCAATGAATTCGACAGTCAGAAAAATACGTCATCCACTCGACTCGACTTAAAAAAAAAAATGCGCGGTTCTCTCTTGACGTGCTTACGTTTTAAAAACGTCTTTCTACTTCCCAATGGTCCTAAGATCATTTTTAAATCGCCGATTGATTCCTTCGTTATTTTAATTTTATTGCCTATTTTCTTAGTCACCATGCACCGGTTAAAAAAGAAAATTAATCGACGCCCGTGAAATCCAATGTTGCGACCTCGAGACGCTCCCTTTTTCGTTTTCTAAATAGGAGTTACACAGACTCGATCCGATTCTAGAAAACGACTAAGGTTTTCTGCATCGAGCATGACGATTAACTAGTTCCAAACAAATGATGTAGAGGGAAAGATGCTGACTTCCATGACAGCAGACGATATCGCCGCCGCCGCCGCACTTGTCCACGTGCTCCTTCATCAGCGCCTCCGGGTCGCAGTTATCCTTCTTCGTGCACATCCCACCCGATCGACCGCACGCCTCCGAAGTCACGATGCTCCCTGTGACGAAAAGCGTGCCGGAAGCGGCTGGAAGTGGAACGGGAATGGGATGGCGAGGAGGAAGCTCACCTGCCGCTGCCGAGGCGACGACGGCTGCCAATACGATCAGGTTCACAGGATTCATCTTCTCTTTCCTCTCTCGGATGATGCGAGTGATCGATACAAAGGGTATTGGTTACACCTGCTTGGTGTAAAATCCCCATCAGCCTTAGACATGCAAGTTGACCTTGATCCTATTTTTTTTATTTTCTTTACTAGTTGCAAACGTCGAGGAGCGAAATATCATCTATGCCACATAATTTGCTTCCACTCCCTCCACATGCTTCGTGAATGAGTCGTTGCTTATCGATATGTCGGGATCAAAGAGTTTTGGAGAATACGGGTCACGATATGACAGCCACATTAGCACTAGAGGCTAATGCACGGCAACGAAAGCCGGATTGCTGCTGGATCGCTCGGAAACTCTCTTCATTGGACTACTCAGCATTTCGAAGAATGAGGAGCGTGCGATCCACGTGCAAGCAGATATGTGATGTACACGTTTACCTTCCTCTTCCTGGAAATGCCCTGGAAATGAAACGAGACCTTTCTCATTTCTGGTCATATTGATGAAGCAAACCACAGGACTGTAAAATCGTCTTTCGACTAAGAGTAATTTCCCTGGAAACGAGAATGCAAAAAGAATCGCGACAGACGGGGAGAGAATCGTCACCGGAGACGAGCTGATGACAGACCGCAAAAGTGTGGCGCCGCGCGAGGCAGAAGATGGGGTCGCGCCATCACCCAAAATAACGAAATTAATCATCCCAGCGATCGTTTTCGCTCTCGCACCGCTAGGTGCCACGTGCGATCGTGACGTCACGACCCGTCCTACCGGACGAGGATGCAGCAGTCGAGTCCGGGAGCGCACCCGGGAAGGCGAAGGCGAGGAACGGCCGTCTTCGTCTCCTCGCAGCAGAATCCGACGCTCTCGCACTTCGTGTTCGTCGGCACTGCAAACAGAAAATGCATCGTTTTCGCGATCGAGTCGGATGCGAACGGAACGAGAAAGCACGGGGGAAAAAATCCGAACATCCGTGGCAGCAGACGGATCCCTCCCCCTCGCATCTCCCCCGGCGTCCGATGTTCCCGCGGCGGCAATATCTCTCTTCCGTGCAGATCCCTCCCACTTCCAGGCAATCCTTTTCGTCTTCCTCTTCGCTCTCTGGCTCCTCCTCCGGTTCTGAGATGGTTTATATACGATATTAAACATCATATACCCGTATAATATGAACGTCATGTTATGGATGCAATCATTCTCTCATTCCGTCATCCGTGCAAAACGACCGTTTTCTCCGACGTTAAGATACGCCAAGAAATCGAAAGAACGCTGTCGAAGAGGAAACGTGAACAATTCGGGTGCGATGACGATTTACCGTGGAAACGTTCGCGGACGGATTCGATTCGACTTCTGCCGAATGTCGTCCGGGGGGACATCAAAGATAGGGAGTGAAACCGACCAGGAAGGCAGCAGACGACGTCGCCGCCGCCGCAGTCCCGCTTCTTCACCACCATCTCTTCGTCGCAGTTCTCCTTTTCCGTGCAGATCCCGCCCGCACTCCTGCACGTTTCCTTGGGGTTTTTCTTTCCTGTGACCAGAATCGCCCAGATGAAAGGCAGGAAGTCGAACGGGAATGGGATGGCGTGGAGGATGCTCACGTGCCGCTCCCGAGGCGACGACGACGGCTGCCAATACGATCAGGGTCACCGGATTCATCTTCTCTTTCCTCTTTTGCACGCGGATGATGCGAGTGATCGATGTAACGGGTTCGAGTTATACCTGCACCGTATAAAGTCCTCGTCAGCCAGAGACGAGACGGTTTACCTCGATCCCAGATATCATTTCCCATCAACTAGTTGTAAGCATTTAATTGAAATTCTTTCCGCGCTCTTTTGGAGCTCACCGCATCGTTAGTGCGAAGAGGTGACATATTTTCGGGAGAACATGCACCACGATCCAACAGCCACACTAGCACGAGAGGCTAATGCGCGGCAACGAGGGCCGGATCGCTGCTGGACCGTGCGTCAATCTTCTCCCCTGGGATTTCTACGAATGATTCGTTTTCCGTCCCGATGGGGCTAAGAGCCAAAGGGGGGATGTAAAGGAGGTGGACGGATCTTCTTGCAACCGCTCTCGCGTTTTTTCCATTCGGCTCCCAGCACGAGGGAAAGAAGTCGCTGGGACGAAACGACGAGGTCTACGATCGGTTTAGGAATCGGTTTAAGAGTCGGAGCGATTCCTAAAAGAAATAGAGAACGTTTTCTATCTCGTATGAGAAAGCGGTAGGCCTGCTGGTTTTCCGTGGGGTCGAATATGCAATCCAGAGGCCATCATCCCCCATTCGTGTAATTATACGTAATGATTCGCGATGAACCCCGAGGAGGCGGGCCGACCCGCACGGCCCCGACTTCCTGCGGGTCATCGTGCGTTTCCCGCGTCGACGAGCGGCTTGCCATCCGTCCCAGCGATTGCCATCATTTTTGCATTTACGCGAGCGTGATGCGCGTATCCTCCAAACGGTGTGAGCAGCACTTCCAAATCAATCATATTCTTCCGGTTTTCAACGAACCACAAAAATACTTTTTGCATGCATTTACTAGTGCACTCCAGTACCGATCCAGTACCTTCACCCTGCGGAGACCGTGCAGCAACACACAGCTGACCTTAGGTGGCATCACATGTGGCCGTTTTCGACCGAATCGAGTCAACCAACAAAACCAAACAGAAGCAAGAGAAAATCCATGAATATAGATGCATGAGTAGAGTGACCCCGTGTCTCTATGTCCCCCCCCCCCCCCCCCCCTTCCTCTCCCCCCACCTCACTCACTTTCGCGTCTCAGCCACGCATGCAACCGCGTAACGAACGCTCGTATCCTCGTTATGTGACGGATTCGACGCGGAGAAATGCATTCGCTCGATCGAAAAACCTTCATCTGAAGAATGTGCATTACGTGAAGGAGATGGACAGGAGGAGCAAACGTGGCAATTGCCTCCGTGTGACGCTACTGCCACGTGACAGATAAAAGAAAACTATTTTTCGAATCTCCTAGAAGTTCTATGAAAGAAGATAAGCCACTTATCTCTAGCTGGAAATCACAGCGACTCTTCTCCCCTTTGGGCAACTGCAGAGCGATTACTCAGAGTCTCTGCGACCCTGCTCGTGCAGGGCAGGGGAACGGGAGATCGCCGAGAGCGGCGGTGGGGGACGTCGAGGGGACGTCGAGGGGACGTCGAGGGGACGTCGAGGGGACGTCGAGGGGACGTCGAGGGGTCGACGACGGGTCGACCCCCTGCGTCTCCCCCTATCCTAGGGGTTGCCTTGGAAGCGTCGGTTATCCTGGTCACAGACCGAGGAAAGAGCAAAGGTCTAGGAGCAAATCTTTGGTCAATTGGAGATCTCTCAATTTCCGAGCGCTTCTGTACGGTAAAATGAAACGAAGCTTTGTGGAAGAAAAACGAAAAAAACACGATTACTATCGACGAGAAAATGCACAGGATTCAACGAGAGGGGACGAGAGGGGACGAGAGGAGACGAGAGGGGACGAGAGGGGACGAGAGGAGACGAGGGGGGACGAGAGGGGACGAGAGGAGACGAGAGGGGACGAGAGGGGACGAGAGTGAGGCGCATTCCCCCGAGATAACGGGGAAGGGCCTGGCTTATCGGGATGGGGACGGAGGTCACCCCGAGTGTCGTCCCGGTCGTTACGGTGTCGTGTTGCGAGGGAGGAGGTCGGGAAGGAAGGTTGGACTCACCTGGTCGGGGGTCGGCGGTGGACGGTGTCGGGCCGAGGCGAGGCGGGGGTTTTGTTCCGTCGGATGCGGAAGGGGAACAGGGGAACCCGCATGGGGTCGGGCGGAAGGGGTTCGGGACGACGAAGGTCGTCGTGGCTGCCGGTGGGCAATATCCGCGGTGGGGGTCGGTGCGGGTGTGGAGGGGAGGGGAAACCGAGGGCGTCGGGTGGTGTTCGGATGCGAGATCGCGGAAGACGCGGGACCGTTCCGACGGCTCGTCGCGGTTCGTCGAGTGCGGCAAAATCGGGCTCGAAAGTCGTCTCGGCTTGTCGATTTCCTTCGTTTCCCCACGTTTTTTCGAGCTCGGCGGACGTGTCAGGCCTGACGCCAGCGTTCGAGTCGATCCGACGACTTTCTACAGGGCACCCCACCCCATCGCCTTCGGAATCTCGGTCGACCCGATTCCTTCCCGGACCGGATTCGAACGGATCGAGCGGGAAAATAGGAGTTTGCGAGCGGTACCGATCGTTAAGATCCCCCTCACTCGCGACAAATCAGTGCTGTGTCGCGTGTTATCGTCTGCCAAAAAAAGTGACAGCCATACAGACACGCAGACATAACAGGATTGCAGACAGCGGCGTATTTTACGAGGGGGGCAGCAAGAGGGGCGACTGCCCCCTCCCCCCCCCATCGTTTGCCCTTAACTAAAGGTAATTTGATAAAGAGCCCTCTAAGGCAGGGGTTCTTAACCTTTCTGCACCTACGGACCCGCCAGATCCTCAAGAGAAACTTTGGAACCCCTGGATTTTGTGATTATAAATCATGTTTTTCGGGAGCTACCTTCAATTACATATTAAATTCTCCATGGACCCTCCACGGACCCCCTGGACCTACCCCATGGACCCCAGGTTAAGCACCCCTGCTCTAAACTAAGTTTTCTACTGAGAACCCTGGTGTCGTTGCTCGCCGGCTCCAAGCCTCTTCTTTTAAAGGCAGATTTGAAAAGATATCCGATTTTCCCGCCATTGATGCGATTCAATCATGCAAATTTTCTCATCCGGTTGGTTCCAGACCGCCTTCTTCTCTTTCCTCTCTTCCTGGCATCATTTTACTCTATTATTATTTGATTATTTTCTCAATCATTCGATTTATGTTTTTTTCTGTCGACTTTTTTCATATTTTTTACTTGTTTGGCTCGGTTCGCCGACTCTTAATTGATACAAGAAACCGGGTTCGCATACGATTTCCCTTCTCCGTGCCGAATATGGCCCACGAAACACGTGCTAATAAATTACAATAAACGACAACAGAACGAATATCAATTTCAGTCGTGCTCCCCTTCCACACGATCGAAAATCGACCCAGCATCTCAGGGAAAGTGAAAGTGCCAAAGTTGCCATAACCGGCATGGAAAGAACACGGCCAAGGAGCATCCTCCTCGATGTTCAAATCAACGAATCGAAAAGAGGAAATCCCATGCAAACAAATCAGCTTTGCAAAGGAAGATGCCCCCCCCCCCCCTCTCCCCCCCTCATCCCCCTCCCCCCATCCCCTTCGATTCGTGAGCCAAAAGACACGGGTGACTCGGTGTGGAAGGCGGCGGAAGGGTCTCGGTGTTCGACGGGACCCTTTTACACTGCCTCCAGCCTTTCTCTCACCCTTTCCCTTCGGCGCGCTCGTTAAGAGGTGCAGTCGCCATTCTCCTACAGGCGTGCGTGATCGCGTCGAAGGAAGCCGATCGGGACGTCATCTTCGGAGGGGCTGCGCCTGGCGGTCGCGGACGGTCGAGCGTGCGTGTGGCGTAGGTGCATCCGACGTGCAGCGTGCGTGCATCAGACGTGTCGTCCAGGCGACAGCATGTTTGGGTCGTCGGTTTACCATGCGAAAGGTTGTTACGCACCTTTTGGAAGCCGGTTACTTTACCACCGTCGATGGAAACCGGGAGCGACGACCTACCAGAGCTTCTCCCACGTCGTCGGGTTTTTGCCTCTTGCTTAGAAATAAGAAAAAAGAAATTCCGAGTGCGACCCCGATTGGCTTTCACTTTTAACCTCTTCCGGGCCAGTGGGTCCATATGGACCTATTAATTTTATTAGTGCGCGGTCGCTTTCGTTTCGTCCGTTGTCCACGCTCGGACCCGTGTGGTTTGCCATGGACGGTTTGGCAGCACTCACAATTTACGTTACGATTGGGAAAAACGGGCGAAATGAAAGCGGCCACGCACTAATAAAAATAATGGGTCCTTACGTACCCACCAAGCCGGAAAAGATGCCCCGAAAACAAGCGAGAGATGCAATCAGCTGCGGTTGTTGTATTTACCCATGCAATGCGTGGGTTCCCCCCACGGAAAAAAAAAATTCCCATTCGCAAGGAAAGTGATAAAAGACACGGGAGCAGACGACCAACGAGACGTAATCGCAGGGAAAGCGTGGCCCTCGCCCAAGGACGTCGCCGTCCTTTCCACTGCCCTTTCGGATCTCCACATGTTTTCCGCGCGTGCGATATCGTGTCAGCAGATGGGGCCACATTTTTAAAGTTTAGCTTTTCGTAGGGAACTCGTTCGCGGGAAACTAGTCTCGGCAGAGAGATTCCCCTTTTACCGCGCTCGCCACGGTTAGGCCTATGTCCCTTAGACGAACTACAATTATCGTAGGCCTACCTTTGGCTACGTGAGGCATTTGCCCGAAGAATGTGTAAAACGTGTAAATGATGTTCTCGACCGTTTGGGAAGACTTGCAGGTAGGACCTCGTGAGTTAAGGCCAAACCAACGTTTGAAGTCGCCAGGAGAAAGCACAGAGGATGTCGCATACTCTGAGAGACAAGGCTTCAAACCAACTGGAGGAACACCGGCAGTCGATGCAGGCCAAGGTAAGAGGGATGATGTAACTGTTTCCTTTCTTTTATTCCATTTCAGGGCTCAGGCATTTGTCAAGCATCGATGCCAACAATACAATTCACTCACTTTCCTCATTTGCCCTCGTAGAATCCAGAAGTTCTGACGACCGGACACGGGGCACCGGTCGGTGACAAGTTGAACGCTCTCACCCTTGGACCACGAGGACCTCAGCTCCTTCAAGATGTCGTGTACGTGGATGAAATGGCACATTTTGACCGGGAGAGGATTCCCGAAAGAGTTGTTCATGCCAAGGGAGCTGGTGAGTGTTATTTCACTAATAAACTAGAACAAATGAAGCACATAGACATATCAGGTTCATTTGTCACTTCTACTAATCATCTCTTGCATACAAGATGGTTGGGCTTTGTCTCACGGATGGAGATATTCTCCATTCATGGAAATATGTGAAACTGTTATTCATGTTGCACCAAGATGTGTAGATCTAGTAGACAGGGTCTAATTCTGAACTGAATGGAAATAATGTGGGTCATGTTAAACTTTTATTAATGCCATGAAAATATGACACCCTGGAAGTTGAATATTTAAATTCCTCTTTCAGGGGCATTTGGATATTTTGAGGTGACCCATGATATCACCAAGTACTGCAAGGCTGACCTATTCTCCAGAGTTGGAAAGCAGACACCTGTATTAGTTCGCTTCTCCACTGTTGGTGGAGAAAGTGGTTCTGCAGACACTGTCAGGTGCCACATTTTTTTAAAAGTGTATTCACATTTCTTCCATCATGAGTTGCTCCAGCAGCATAAAGGTTTTTTCTTCATTAGGGATCCAAGAGGCTTTGCAGTAAAGTTCTACACTGAAGAAGGAAATTGGGATCTTGTGGGGAACAATACTCCCATCTTCTTCATCCGGGATCCCCTTCTCTTCCCATCTTTCATCCACACTCAGAAGAGGAACCCTGTGACCCATTTGAAGGTATGCATGATTGGGCCCTATATTTAAATATAGTGTGTCTGAGGAAGTAGTCAATATGGAAGGACCTCAAGGTTTTTATCTTTCAAATTTTACCAGGATCCAGACATGTTTTGGGACTTCATCACCCTCCGTCCAGAAACCACACATCAAGTGTCTTTCCTCTTCTCAGACCGGGGTATCCCAGATGGACATCGTCACATGAACGGATATGGCTCCCACACCTTCAAGCTGGTGAACAAAGAGGGGAAAGCAGTCTACTGCAAATTCCACTATAAGGTATACATGTGTATGAGGAAATGAGTTGATGCCATATAAAAAGAACTATCTCTGGAGGCAACAGATGGTATTCATGCCATTTCTCTTTCTGATCTCTATTAGACTGATCAGAAGATCAAAAATCTTCCAGTGGAAAAGGCAGCTGAGCTAGCTAGCTCAGATCCAGACTATTATATCAGGGACCTGTACAATGCAATTGCAAACCGTAACTTTCCATCTTGGACCTTGTACATCCAAGTCATGACATTCGAGCAGGCTGAAAACTGGAAGTTCAACCCCTTCGACCTCACAAAGGTCAGTGCTCTCATGTTTTTTCTGCTATGTCATTCTTGAAGGCATTTCTTTAGTCACATTTCCATTGTCTTTCCAAAAAGTGAGCATTCATCATCAACCTATCCTTCTAGATTTCCTTAAATTGTGCAGCTTATACCAGTATGGTTGAATGTACATCTAACTGGGATGACATTTTGTGTTCTTCCTTATCACACAGTGTTGATTGTCTTATCTGTAGTACTCCATAAATCTGTTATGTAAGAAGCCTCTTTGTGGAGAAATGTAATCCAGGAAATATTACTGATTTAATTCCCCTATTGCCCCTTGCTCTCTCTCTGTCTATGCCCTAGCATCACAAAATCCTGCCATGAATGCCACTTTCTTTTTGGGAGATATAGGGAAAATATTTCCCCTTGTTTTAGAATCTCCCCATATCACTTGCAATCCCACAGTCCAATGAGTTATACTCTTGTAACAATGCATATTATGTTGATATTGACAGGTATTTGCTGAGGTCAATTTCGTATACTTCCTTCTCTGATCGTAGATATTGACAAATGATAACAGTCACAATTCATCTGAATTTTGGAAGCAAGAAGATTTGGGCTTTTTATTCTTTGATCAAATTTTTAAGTTAAGTTGTTTTTAGTCAATTGTATCTATGGAGATCTTTTGGCATCATAAGTTAAATTTCGGGTGAAATACTGGTTTATCAGTAAGCTGAGAAATCTTTCATTTGCATCCCATGTGCAATTGCATTCACTGGTATGCATTATGCTTCTCTTTGTCAAATCTGGGAGTTCATGTTTTCTATTTGGTCTGATGAAGGATAGCATATTTATTTCACACTATGCACAATGAAAGTATGGGAAAGAAGCCAAACGACATTTAATCTGTATATGTATGTTCTCATGAGTTGTTTTCATGACACACTGTATTTTGAAAATATTCCTAACAGATTTTTTACATTTCTTCTAATTTTGGTCTTCCCGAAGCAAGGCAATGAGCAAATATTAAAAAGAAATTGGGTATTGGAAATGGACAGGATATCATGTGTATTTCAAGTGTTCAGTCTTTAGATTAATAGGTATACATGATCTGATGAAGTGCAGTTTTTTATGTCTCTCCCTTGTCAAAATCTTATCTTATCTCGACAAGGAAGGAATACAAACTGGTTTTTTTGCATAGGAAAGAGTGTATGCAAATATGCAGTTTTGGGGGAAAAATCGTGTATTTATTTGATGTTTATATGACCGTAAATACTGGCTATGATATTAAACAACATCAAGCTTGATACCATGAGCCATCACCGAAGGGCAACTCCAACAATCCTCTCAGTGATACGTTGCTTCAGTTCATTGTGCATGAATTTTCAGCATATACCTGGTCTTTAAATGAGACCTTGCAGCCAAATTTGAGGAGCCAGGTTCAGCGACCTGGGAGGCTGCTCAATAGGCCTGACCCGGCCTTTCCACGTGTCTTCAATGCAAAACTTCACTTCGGAAAGATTTCCTTCACAAATTGAGAAGAAATTAAGGATGGCAACATTTTCCTCCAATGAAGGCCATCAGTGTTATCAGAAAACCATTTGGAGCAGCAAAAATTAACAGAAATGTTGCTTTTATTTTGTGCAGGCTCATCCCATTTCTCATTAGTATTTCATGCAAATTTCCATGGCTTTATGTCAGTTAATGCATGCTCTTCATATGTAAGAAACCGTTTGCAAATTAATGCCTTCCTTGCTGAGTTATAGGTATTCAAAGTCATCCAGTAACGTTTTACTCACCCAGTATATTAATAATTGGCAATCAAATTTTGCAATGCTGTGTAAAGTTACTCTGAAGAATGATCTATGATCTAAAGGTCATATGTAGCTAATCTTCCATACAGGTGCATTTTTAAGCTTTAAACCAAGTGGGTTCACTCCAATACCATGTTTTGAATTCTTTGTCCAGGTGTGGCCCCATAAAGAATTCCCATTGATCCCAGTGGGACGCATTGTCCTCAATCGCAACCCAACCAGCTATTTCACAGATGTTGAACAAGCTGCCTTTGCCCCCTCCGATATGGTGCCTGGCATTGAGCCTTCTCCTGACAAGATGCTTCAGGTGAGTGTTATCTTTCTAACAGACTCTTTCTTCGATGACATACCAAGCCAGTATAGATTGTTGTTGACCCAATTGTGAAGTGCTCCCAAGGAATTATGTTGAAAGGGGTTTTGTCAATAGGGTCGACTGTTCAGCTATCCGGACACACATCGGCACAGATTGGGAGCAAATTACCTCCAGCTTCCTGTCAACTGCCCATATAAGACGAAAGTGAGCAACTATCAGCGTGATGGGCCCATGTCAATTGACAATCAGCCAGGGGCACCCAATTACTATCCTAATAGCTTCTCTGGACCCCGAGATGTGCCTCAGCACAGGGAACATTCCTTCCAGGTTTCAGCTGATGTTGCAAGGTTGGCTTGAATTTGTCTCTGTTGATTATTGACTGACAAGAGTAGGAAAGTGCATGGTCATCATTTTTCTGCAGGTACAACTCTTCTGATGATGACAACTTCACTCAGCCAGGAATTTTCTACCGAGAGGTCCTGAATGCAGAGGAAAGAAAACGATTGGTTGAGAATATTGCTGCTCATATCAAGGATGCTCAGTACTTCATTCAGGTTAGAACAGAGAACCTTGCCATCTAATATATATAGACAATTGTGACTGAGTGACTGGCTGACGCTAATTCTAACCGTGTTCTAGAGAAGTTAGAAATCTGAAATTTGGTACATAGGTACCTATTGGGATGCAGAGTCACAGAAAGCTGAAACTTGAAATGGATGTGCTTACTGAGACACTGAGTTCAGGAAAAATGTCAAGTTTCAGATGCATGCCCTGGGGCATATTTTTGGGGGGTGACTTTTCAAGTAATTCTTTTTTTGTCTTAGCGAATTGGACAGAGATAGAAAGGTAAAACTTGGCACACCAATAACTGATGTGATGTTGAGTTCAGAAAAAATTCAACTTTTGTGGTGCATACCCTCAGGGGAGAGCTTTTGGCTCCATTAGGTTTTCAAAAGATATTTTTGCACCAGTGAAAAGGGCAAATAGATAAGGCTGAAACTTGGTAGGCACATAGTTCTCCAAGTACTGATTTCAGTAAAAAAATATTAATTTTTAAGTAAAAGTTCTATTGCTGAGTGTAAATCCTTCTTTTAAAATGTGTCCCCTCAGGGTAGATTTTTAAGAGATTTGAAGTTAGGCACACAAGAAATAATTGGAGTAATTATTTGGATAAGAATATCAGTTCATCCCCTCATGACACTGACTTTGACAGCCACATACTTTTCATACACTTTTGCCTCTTCAAAAATGAATTGATGAATCACTATCCTTGACAATGGAGCACCGAAGATGCGACCTTCTCAACACAAACTTGCTAGTACTGTAATATGAACTGTAAAATATTTCCTACCCAGGAAATCTCTGATATCTTTTCTTGCTGAAGTAAATATGCACTGTGTGTTCCCCATTACTTCCTTGAATGCTTGTTATCCCTTCCCATGATGGTAACAAAGTTGCATAAAATTGGAAAGCTTGAATAAAACAGCTTTCTGATGATATGCAGTTTGCTACTATCACAGCATGGGATAATGAGCCAGCAAAGGAAAGGGTGGGATTAGGTGAGCTCACAAGAGGCACAGGGACTTGAAAGTTTTTTAGATTTGGAAAGGAACGCCATCCTTTTGACCTTAATTCATTGCATTTTCATTCACAATTTCTCTTTTGCCATGCTTTGACAGGAACGTGCTATTGCAAACTTCAGCAAGGCAGATCCTGATTATGGACGTGGTATAAAGGAAGCCCTGGGAAAATATCGTGGAGCCCCCAAAGCTACATCCCATATTTAGGCTTGGTCTATTTGCTTTCCATAGTGTCCTTGTTCATGCCGTACTCTTGATTGGAATACTGATTAAGTCAGGAGATTGGGGTGGGAGCCAAAGTAATGACTGCCTTTTCTCTTGTCACTGTTTCTTCAGGTTTCCCACAGACCTGTAAAATCTTGAAATAGCAGGAAAGCAAAATTGTCAAAGGGTTTGGCAAAGGTCAGGGAAGTCACCAGAATTCCCTTTGGGAGATTTGCAAAAGTATGCAGTTAGCAATCATGATCATGATCGATGAAATCATGGTTTGAACCAGATTTCATGGTGTCTGGTTGTCTGTGCAATAGAATTATGATTCAAAAAGAAGCAGTAAGAGAAGAATGTAGTTTATAGCTATTCTAACCCTTTTTAACCCTTTTAGTGCCTTATGGCCGATTTTTCTGCCATGGCTTTTCATTAGGTTTCTTTCATCACATAGTTGAAGTTCTTATTGTTAGAAGATACAAAAAATAGGGCTACAGCATTTTTGGAAGTGGTAGATGTGGCTGAAAAATCGGCCATGTAGCACCCAAAGTGTTAACCATCATAGAAAATATTTCCTCTGAAATGAACAAGCAGGTATCCAGCCACATTTTATCATTGATCTTTCCCAGTGTGCACCCATTTAACAATCACTTGTCAATTTCAGAGTGCCTTTTATCATTAAGAGTGCATCTGTATCATGTAGTTAGATGCCTCTGCATATGCAGCTGATCCATTAGCTAACAGCTAGTTTCTTGGGGCTAGTCTGATACTATTGCTTTTGTATATATTGGGAAAGAAATTTCCTGCAGATATTAAGAGCAAGTGGACTGGGAGTTGATCACAGAAATCAATACAGGCCAGCAAGTTTTGGAAAAAATTGTATTGCCTTCTGAAAACGAAGATGTTGAAGTGTTACATAGCTAATAGCATGGATAGTCTCCCTGAACGTTTGTAGAATCGTTATTGTGATGTTATCTAGTTAAGTTTTTTATGTTTGAGATTTCTGCAGCTTCATGGTCAAAGGAATGAAAAATCTTTTTTTTATATTAATGGCAGAACCAAACCAGAACTGTACTTCATCATCAGCATCATTGTGAAATCCTTCTCTCTATTCTGGGAACACATATGCAATACTAGTATCTCTCAAATGTATTGTGTGAGGACAATATTTTCAATGGGTACTTTGTTTCTGGGTATGATGTTCTTATCTATGAAATGCGAATTTGTGAGTCATTCCCATTCCTTCACGTGCTTTCAATAAACATGTTTTGTCTGATGGCTCATTATACCTAGTGACTGGTGATATCTACTCAAATAAAAATTGTTGATCCTTCCACAGGAATCATGTATTCATGTTCGAATATTGAGAGAGTGCAATATACGAGGTGTGGCTATTAAGTTTCCAGACTTTATTTTTTTATTATTTATTTTTAAACTTACAGATTAATCACATTATCGCCTTCAAAGTACCCCCCTCCAGAACTTATACACTTATCCCAACGGTGCTGCAATTGCTGGAAACAGCGGTGGAAGTCTTCTTTCGGGATGTCTTTCAGAGCCTGCATCGCATTTGTTTGAATGTCTTCATTGCTTTGAAATCGGTGGCCTTTGAAAAAATTTTTGAGTTTGGGAAACAGTCAAAAGTCATTGAGACCTAAATCGGGCGAATACGGCGGGTGATCCATTTCAGTGATCCGTTTGGCGGCCAAAAACTCTCGGACGGACAGGACTGTGTGATCCGGCGCGTTATCGTGATGCAGGATCCACGAGTTCTTCCTCAGATCGCCCCTTTCCTCCTCACAACCTCATGCAACCTCTTTAAAACGTTCTTGTACAACATCTAGTCGACAGTTTGTCATTCTGGCACGAATTCTGAGTGGACGATTCTGTTGACATGAAAAAAACAAATCAGCATCGTCTTGATTTTCGACTTCGACATTCGGGCTTTTTTCTGTCTCGGTGGATTTGCGGTTCTCCATTCAAGGGATTGACGTTTCGTTTCCGGATAATGTTGATAACACCATCTCCGGTGATGATTCTTTCCAAAATATTTCCTTCTCCAGCTCTCTCTCCGTTTGGATCTCTGAGAGTTCGAAACAAACGTCCAATCGCCTTTGTTTTTGTTCAGCTGTCAGCAACCGAGGCACCATTTTCGCTGTCACCTTTCTCATGATCAAATCATCCTTCAAAATCCTTCGAACAGTTTCTTTATCTAAATTCAACTCTTCAGCTATCATTCTAATTGTCAACCGTCTACCTGAACGCACCAAATCCGTAACTTTTGAGACATTTTCAGGTGTTCCTTTGGTGATAGGCGATCCACAACGCTGGTCGTCATTGACGTCATCTCTTCCCTCTTTAAACCTTTAATGCCACAAAAAAATCGCGCCCTTGACATGGTATGATCCCCATGAATTTTTCTTAACATTTAGAGCGTTTCAGTTGAGGATTTCCCCAGTTTAACACAAAATTTGACGTTAGTTCTCTGCTCGAGATTACGATCCATTTCAAATCCGCCAGCGCACACTAATACGGTCTACCTTAACGGGCCGCAGCTCGCAGCGCACTGGTCAGACCACACTGAAATTTGACAAGTTATTAACTAAGGCTCCCCTCCATGTTACTGTCATAGCCCCACTCCCCTCCTCTCTCTCAAAGTTCAGCAATAGAACCAGTCTCGAAACATAATAGCCACACCTCGTATTTCATGTGGATGTGAAAGAGTTTCCATCACACAGTGGGAGGGTATCATTCTCTTTGTCATGAAGTTACGAGTAAAATCAAGTCACAAGAGTGAAATCCAAGCAGATGGATCTTATTTGGAGTTGCCGTAGAAGCGTAGAAGAAGGAAGTGACAAGATGACATGAGATGGTTTCCTAATTTCATAGAGAAAGTCAATCGGAGATATTGGCCATGCTGTTAAAGATATAGTAAGCCTGCCTCGGAAATTTGTTTTCGTGATCGAAAAAGATGCTGGTTTTTTACCTGCTGATGAACGGGAGCATCCCGAATCAATTGTAATATGGAGGATTAATAAACATCTCTTAGGTGTAGATTCAGAAGCGAATGGCCGATCGATTAGCAGTCCCTCAAGTATAATATAATTGCAACCACAATTTTTTTAAATATGGTTCATGTGGAGAACATATGCATGTGTTCGATTTGTATGCCGATTGAGCACATCACGTTCTGATTGGTCAACATTTTCTTGGAGTAGGACTGAGGTTATGATTATGAGCTTATATTATTAGATTATATGAACTTATGATTCATGTTAGTGGCTTTCCTACTCACGCTTGTAATAGCTATGTTATGCCGGGGGGCACATTAATCTTCGTGAATGGTTAAATGTAGGCCTACTCAAAAATCGTTGACGCTTTCCCAAGAATGTTTGACGATTGGGAAAGGATATGATACCGTCTCTTGCCAGCAGCTGCCTTTCTTGGAATTCGCTCTGTGGAAGTGGCAAGAAAACTTGGGAGAGTTTCCTAATTACATTCTAATTTGAGCGTGGTTTTGCAGTGCACTGCTCGTCGTGAGGAGAAATAAACATACTGTTCGAAACAAAATATGCACATATTGCCTTGATAGCTGAGAAAAATGTGCGAGGTGCAGCGGCTCGTCCTGCCTGTCCTTACACTCCTCCCCCGGCGGCGTGAAATTCACGCCCGTGCTCGGCGCTGAGGTGGAGGGCCGAGTACCCCGCGTCGTCCAGGGCGTCCACGGGTGCCCCGCGGACCAGAAGCAGATGCGCCGCCTCGGGATATCCCTGCCAGCAGGCGTAGTGGAGGGGTCGGAGGCCGAGGGCGACCGGCGAGGTCACCTTGGCTCCTGAGGCGAGGAGCAGGCGGAGTTCGTCCAGGGCGGGAGGGGTCTTAGTCATGAGAGGTCGATGGCGAGATGAAGTGAAAGTTGTAACAATTTGGGGTAAAGGGATCTTTATTGCATTTGCACTCTAAATCATGGAAGTGGCAAGAAAACATGGGATGGTTTCCTACATTCTCATTTGAGCGTGGTTTTACAGTGCAATACTCGTCGTGAGGGGAGACAAACATACTGTTCGGGACAAAATATGCACCGATTACCTACTTTTGATAACTGAGAAAATTGTGAAAGCATGACATCACAGCCAATGGGCTGGGAATGAGATTCATGATACTAGGAAAAAAATCACACGTGCAAGGAGAGATAGTAGCTAGAAACTCCCTCATCGAGAGGATAGAGAAAACGACAAATGAGTTTTCCAATTCGTGACTCAAACTTTGTTGGGCCGTGAAATCAAAGAACAGCATTCGGTGCTGAAAAATAGAATCCGAGTTTGAAATATTCAAACGACAAATCGAAAAACAGGCAAAATAATTCCTTTACAAGGAAAGAAATCATAAAGCGATTTGTTTACAAAATTGTACAAATTTCGATCATCAGGAAAACGATGAAAAAAAAGAAGATAGAAAAAAAAAATCCTCTTGGGATATTCGACAATCACATCGTCAAGACGTATGGTGTATCCATTGAGCAAAACCGGCTCCGACTCTAAGGCATGCAAAAAATGCTTAAACTCGAATCACATGGCGCCCTAGAGGCACGTACAGGCCCCCCCTCCGGGACCCCAAATTCCCCGACGACAAAACACGGCGCGGGGACATCAAATTCCCTCATGGAAGCCCCACGGATTTCGGAAAGAAACAAGACCAAGGGACTCCGACCCGTCAGCTGATCTGAAACGAGACGTATCTCTTGATGATGGGCGGAAGCGGAAGCTTCTCCAGCACCTCCGGGAGCCTCCCCCCTCCCCTCCTCATGCACTGCGCCCGCACCGCCATCCTCGCCAGATGCTGCAGCGTCTTCGGCCTCTGCGCCGCCCACAGCAGCGAGCTCCTCTGCTCCGCGCTCAGTCCCGTCGCTCGCTGGATCCCCCACGGGTCGAAGATCTCCGAGGCCCCGATCAGGAACTCCAGGACTCCCGGGTACGGCTCCAGCGAGGGCAGCACGTTCAGCAGCCCCAGCGGGTCTCGGTATTCGCTTCTCATCACCACCTTTTTTTTTTATTTAAAGCGGATCAGAATGACACATTTCGTCTCCCGATCGAAATCGTCAAAGGATGAAATCACGACTGACTCGACCATGAGCTCGTGAAAGAAAAAATTCCATCAGGCGTGAAATGAGGCAACCACACGGTAGTAAATCTGCCGGTACGAATGCGTAGGAGCATTATACATTTTCTCACCTCCGGCTGAAAACATGACCCACCCACATGTTTGGATGCACCTGGAGAAATACCATCAGGCACACCGTGCGAATCCCTTCCACTCACGGAACGTCATGCGACTATCCGGTGATAATACCCTGTCGACATGAGAAGATCTTATGTTCCTCCATGCGAGACTTTCATTTCTTTCTTTCTTTCTTATTTTATCATTTATTTATTTATTTATCAGGCCGCAAGGAATCCCAGGACGCGAACATCACGTACCTCCGAACCACGCCTGTTTTAAAGCCATTTTCTCCTTCCCACCCCTTTCGACCCCGATACCGAAACCGACCTTGGCGCCGTACTCGAGCAGCAGCCTCACGACCCCCATCTCCGGATTGTGATTGGAGGCGAGATACTCCGCGAGCGCCCCCCGGTGCGGCACTCCGTCCTCCGATCGGACGATGGCGTTCGGGTCCGCCCCGGAGCCCAGCAGCAGCCGAAGCATCTCCATGCGGTTGCTGATCTCGTCCGCGCAGGCCACTTGCAGGGCGGTGCCGATCACCGGTGATGCCGCCTTCACGTCGGCTCCTGTCGAGGAGGGAGGGTTCGCATGTGGAAGGAATTCAAATCGATAATGAGGAAGTCGCCGGTCACGCGTCTCGCCTGCTTCGATGAGCTGACGGACGATGATGGGCTCCCCCTTGAGGATGGCCAGGTGGAGCGGCGTCGGCTTGAGGTAATCCGGCGGGAAGTTCACCCTCGCTCCCTGCTTCAGTACCAGATTCACGATCTTGGGGTTCCCGGAAAGGACCGCGTAGTGGAGGACGGATCGGTTGTCGTGCCGCTCCCACGCCTGGGCGTTCACGTCGGCGCCGTGGTGGATGAGCAGGAGGGCGGCGTCGAAGCCGTGCGGCAGGCGGCACGCTTTCATCAGGGGCGTGTTCCCGTCTCGGTCTCTCGCGTCCGGCACGGCCCCGAACGCGAGGAGCAGCTCGAGGAACGGGATGCTCAACGGGGAGACGAGGTTGATGTCGGAGCCGAGGAAGTAACGCGTGTTCGGATGCGCCCCCGCCTCGAGCAACAGCCTCGCCGCCTCGTAGTGATTGTTCCGTATGGCGAGCCGCAGCGGCTCGTCCGGCCTGTCCTTGCACTCCTCCCCCGGCGGCGTGAAATTCACGCACGCCCCGTGCTCGAGCAGCAGACGGAGCAGATCCAACCGCCCGTGCTCGGCGCTGAGGTGGAGGGCCGAGTACCCCGCGTCGTCCAGGGCGTCCACGGGTGCCCCGCGGACCAGAAGCAGATGCGCCGCCTCGGGATATCCCTGCCAGCAGGCGTAGTGGAGGGAGGGGGGGGGGGGGGGGGGGGGGGGGGGGGGGGGGCGACGAGCCACGTGAGATGGGGAAACTGTGACGGGCGAGCGGAGGAAGGCGAGCGGATGGATCGAGGAATCAATGGGATCGCCTGCAGTCGTCTGCGAACACCTTGGGTGTGTCTCCGTGTGTCTTCCAGTCTAAGTGGTCATACATCATCTTTGAGGGCTACGTGCAGGCCGGAATTAGACGTCCAACAAGCCTCCCCCGGACGAACTTCTCTCTCGCTCTCTCTCTCCGTCTCTCGCTCTCTCTCTCTCTCTTCCTCGCTCTCTCTCTCTCTTCCTCTCTCTCTCTCTCTCTCATTCGCTTTATCTCTGTCGTTTGAATTTGGTTGAGTGATGGGGGATGCTTTGGTCGAACGGAGTTCCAGCGGTGTGGGGCACCGACTCGCTCACTGCGAGTCTCTCTCCGTCACTTAATTAGTGCCATGAACCTCTGTTACCAAGGCCTAAAGGGAAGGGAGCTAGTCGCAACCACATCGGACCTACTCTCTGAAAGAGATTGTTCCCTTGCAACGACTCGGCAAAGGGTTCGAGCAAGCGAAAAAACCCGTTCCCCCATTCAACTACAAAGAAATCATGAAAAGCGGGAAACGTGGAAGGCGGAAAATATGGAAGGCGGGACACCTGGTAGTCCTTGTCGTGCTCCCTCCTTTTTTTCTTTTCTTTTAGGAAATGACGCGGAACGGGAGTTGCGACGTTCGTCCACGTGTTTTCACTCGCGACGTTTCAGACGATCCGTCCGAAAAAATTTTCTAAAATTTGCTTCAAGCATTCCTCCTAGAATCTGGAATGCCCCCGTGAAAGTCGCCCCTTCTCGCCTGACCCCTTCTCAGACCAACATCTCGGAACCTTACGACCGAATGCAGTTAACTAGCGCCGACCATCGAGGTCCAGTCCGTCAACAATTTCTGCTTTGTTGTCCACTCGGAAAAAAAAAATGGCTGCGACGAATTCTACCAGCAGCGAGTCGAATAGTCGCGCATCGGGGACGCGGTCTCGCGGGACCCGCGGCCCTCCACCCCGCCGAGGCGGACGGCGGACCGCACGGCGGACGTCCCGCGGACGCCTCTATCGACTCCGTCGAAGGTCGGCATCCCGAGCGGAGGAAGGGGTTGGGAGCACGTGCCCCGACGGAGTCGTTTATCTCGTCCGAAATAGTTTTCTCTCGGACTGTTTTGGCCCGTCCCCACGGCGAAACTCGGGATGCGCAGCGGCCGTCTCGAGTCCTCCGAATTTACGGGCCGCGTCGCGCTTTTAAATTCGAGTCTCGACCCTTTCGCTCGTTTCGCGAGAGTCCGCGAGCGAAGTGGCGGGGGGCCGCGGGGGGCCGCGGGGGGCCGTGGGGGGCCGTGGGGGGCCGTGGGGTGGGGGCGAAAGGAAAACTCACGGAAGACGAGGATCCAGACGATCGCGTAGCCACCGAACGACTTGGTGTCGCGGCGAGAGAATCAGACCCAAGACTGCGTGAGTTTCACATGGCAACAGGCCTTCAAGTGCGACGGAAGGTAAACACGGGCAGACGCAGGACGGGAAAGCGGTCCGGCGCAATCCGGCGCAATCCGGCGCGATCCGGCGCAGTGCGTCCCGGGCATCGGCGCACGACCTCGAATCAATCCTTTCTCTCTCGCTCTCGAATTCGACGAAATCCTTCCGGATTCCGATGTGCCGCTTTTCTCACGCCGACTCGGAATCGCGAATTTCTTCTTCGCGTTGGGAGAGTTTCGTGAAATTTTGATCCATTCTAAAAATAATAATAAATTATGGCAAAATTGCGCACAACGCTTTTCGCTTCCCATTCCGAGATCGAGATGACGCCGTCGGATGTTCCAAACCCGAAAAAAAAAAATTCGAGATGAGAAATAATTAAAAAAAAAGAACTTGGCTTTTTTTTTTCGGGGTCGTGTCCTTTCTTCCGCCGAAGAAGCAGGTGAAATGCGACGCAGGTTGTCGATCTGGTCTTGGCACGGGATTGTCTATCCCGAAGAGCGGCAAAAAGAAAAAGATCGGTTTCGGCGTAGAAGGGAAGAAGAAAAAAGACGAGACGGAAATAGAAGGCGCCGATCGGGTTCGTCGGGTCTGCGGAAATCCGACGCGGGATCTCTGACGTCACGGGCGAATGGGCGAATGGCGGTCGCGATCGCGGTCGCTTAGCGGCGCTTAAATCCTTCGAGGCAAAAAAATAAGACAAAAAATTCCGGGAAAGAGGAATTGGCGTCGTCGAGAGGGTTGGGGATTCCCCAGTCCTCACGTGCTCTTCGAGGACCTCGTGCCAACTTCCCGACGAACCGAAAAAAAGCGGATATTTCGCAGAAAGGCAGGAAGTCGCGTGATCGCGACGGGGTCACAGCGCGCAATTCCAGGAACTTCCGACCTTTCAGCGCGTCTCGAAGACGGAGAAGCCGCAGACCCGGAAGTGCGGGGGACGTCGACGCATTTAACGGACTCGCGTGGGGAATCCGCTCGTCGAAGCGTCAGTAGAAGGCGCCGTGGACCGGCGATGCAGGCGTCGACGGGAACGTTCGACGACCCGCCTGGTGGGGTCACGGAGTCACGTGACCGAAGGACCGATTTGGCCGTTCCGTGCGAAACGGCGGTCGTCGTACCGAGTATTTTTTTTTCGCGACATCGTGTTCGTCTCGTCGACAGACGAACCTACCCGCCAAAGGCGACCACGGCTGTTGACGTCGACGAAGCTCCACTTCGCGCAAGAGGCCAGGACGGAATGGCCCGGAGGCGTGGAGGACCTCCGACCGGAGCCGCCGCCGATTGGAAGACGATGGTCACGTGACCCATCGCAGCAGCCAATCGGAAGAGCCGGCCAGGCGACGCCTGACCGCACCCTCGGCGAGGAGGTTCATTCTCCTCCGATCGTTCGGTGCTTTCGGTCGCCTTGGAGTCGCGTTCCTGCCGAAGCGAAATCGGGCGTTCTCACCCGCAGAATCGGATCGCTTCGGAGATTTTATTCTGATTTATTTTCATATTTTATTCATGTGTACATTGCCGGGATATTGCGTGGTCTTATTTCTCATTTATTCGACGATAACGACGAATCGTCGAACCGCCAGTGTCGGTGACCTTCTGGCGCCAGAACCGCCCGAATACGTTTTGGCACGGAACAGAGAAGTCCTTCGACGAGTTCACCGTCCTCTTCGAGTTCGTGGAGGACGTCGGTGTGGGGTCGTCGTGGAGGCGAAAGTACTGTAAAGTACTGGATTTTTTTTTCTCTACTGTGGGACTGCCTGAATTTCGCTTGCCCCGATTTTCGATGGCTTTTGGAATCTTCGCGCTTTCCCGCTGCGACGATTTCGCGACTCTCGGGAGAAAAACTTGAAAATTCGAAAAATCTGACTTTTTTCGCATTATTATTTTTGAAAAGCGATCGTTTCCGGTTAGGTGACATTTTGCTACGAGAGTGACAGAAAAATTAATGAGACAACACAAATATCAAAGAAATGCACTGAAGACGTTAACATATAACAAACGTGACGCGTTATGGCGTGTGCGCGTGCCGCGGCGGAGTCGTGAAAGTACTTTGCAACCAATAGCAACTAAATTATATAATTTTTTGTTTCCAAACGCAGATTTCAATACAAAAAGAGTTCAACTAGTCAGGAAACACTTGTTACAATATCAGGCGGATTGGTATAGTATTATCCATAATTTGTGTCATTTTGTAGCCATCATCAAATTTGTGCAAAAATTGCTTCAAAGTACAACTTTTGCCCTGTAAAGTTACAGTACTCAGCATCTCAATTTAATGCACTACCGAGTGTTTCTCACTAAATCCTTAAAAAAAATACCCTTATTCAATCAAAAATATCTGAAAATACAGGCTACGGCAAAAATACCCGGACAAAATAAGAAATGAAATAATTTTTTTTAAATAACCACATTTTTTTATCGTGAGAACAAAAACAAAATTTACAATCTCAGGATCATAATTGAATAACTTGTTTTCAAAATGGCAACCTCCTGCTTCGAAGATAAACTAATTGTTCCTTATTTGCAATGATTGTTGCTGTTTTTGTTTGAACTGAGGTGATAAAATTAACCGTTTGGCCTATTTTCGAGATCATTTCATTAGATGATATGAGTTCAGGCCAAACTGATCCGCCTAATATTTTAAGAAGGATATTTTAAATATTTAAAATGTTTTCTGATTATTTTAACTCTTTTTATTCAAAAACTTCGGCAGTTTGGTCTCCTGGTTGCCGAGAAACTCATAAATACATAATGGCGTACTTTTTTCCGGGTACACTGTACACTACGACCAAAGCGTGAGGTGGCAACTGACGATTAGAGAGACTCGGCGGCATCGTACGGCCAGTTGGATTCCTCTCGTTCTCGGCGATGCCGAATGCATTGGAGACCACGAGGCCCATAAGCGTAGCGTGGATGGGAAGAGTGAAGCGGCACGTGCCTCCCAGCCCCCCCCCCCCCCACCCCGACGCTATGCCGCTGATGGGGCCTGTCGCGGCTGGATCCCCTTTAAGCCAATGTCATATGGCATCGTCACGTGCCTTTAACCGAGGATCCTGCAACTTCCCGAGTCTCTCTTACGTTCTCGGGGAATTGGAACGAGACGAGCCCGTTCTCCGTGCTTCTCGTGGATGATTTGGCTGGCTCATTCCGTCCTTCCTGAAGCAGCGATGGGGGAAGCTTAATGAGGAATCTCATTTGAGTTTGCTCTTGTGAATGGAACTCATTGTGGAACACTTCGGTTTCCTAGAGGATGGGAATCCGTTCCTTCTTCACACCGAGAAGAGACATGGGAGGATGAGGAAGGGGCGAGAATAGTTTCTGGAGGATGGGCATAACGAGGAGTGGACTTATCGGGGAGGGGGAAGTGGGGGTTCTTATTTCTAACTCTGGCCGAGCCGTACCATCTTACTAACCTGAACTGGTTGACGATACTGTTCTTCGTTTGGGATGTTGGGGTACGCCCTCACGACGCAGTGTCAAAGACAGCCATGGGATTTACTCAAAATCACGCGCTCGAGGCTTAGGTGTTGTCATACACAAACTTGGTCGAATGCAAGCGTTGCGTGAGTCAGACGTTTCCATTCGTATAACTTCTCATCTATCGAAAGGAGTCCGCGCGAACGCAGACTCCCAAAGGCAAAAATTTCACCGTTGACCTACCCACATTTGGGG